AGGCGCGATGTGAACTACTCGTCCGCCTCTCTCTCTCTCTCTCTCTCTCCCTTTCTATCTTTCTCTCTCTCTCTCTCTCTTTCTCTCCTTGTTGTCCTATGATATACACTGTGAGATTACACTCGCGGCCGCCTGCTCGATGACAATGTTCCAGATCACTGACGTCGTCACGTGGAGAAAATTGTCGACAGACGATGACAGGTGAAGTGTCACGTGGCGCGATGATGCCGGCACCGGCAGTTTGATTGTAAACACACACCAACCGTCCGCAACCAGGATAACCGGTTGACTGGTTCTTTGACCCTCCCCGTTCACTGGTGACAGCACTTCCGTGACAGTTACCGCGGAATCCTTTCTTCCACGCCGTGTTGACATTCCATTATTGACGATAACGCCGACACTTGGTCTCTGATTCCGCAACTATCGCAGATTATTTCCTGTGTTTTCGTGCGTCGAAGATCCGGTTTCCGCTTGCTGCGTATCGCTGAGTTCACATTTTCGTTCGCCGCTTACATCCCGCGCACTTTTCTCCTCTCCAGCTTTGGAGTTTTCTCGCAACACACTTTTCAGGATCGCTGCAAACTAATTAAATGTACATTTTTTTAGTTTAATACCTCTTTCCGTTTTCTCTTCGCATTTTTCGATGCGCAAAATTTGGAGTGCTCGCGCGCGAATCTCAAGTTCCGCGCGACGTACGCGAAAGGAATCACGAGTGGGCACCGGTGCGAACGATCGCGCCGACACGGTGAAACAGCAGGCCGGAACCGGTGGCGGCCGATTCAAATTCACTCCCCACGTGGCGGCGACGGCGTCGTCCCCGAGACTGCCGCCGGTACGACGCCCGGCGTCGGTCAGTGCGTCGCCATCTCACGGCCCGCTGGTTAACCGTCTTTACCGCCGCGAATCCTCCTCCTCGAAAACGTCGTCGAATCCTTCTTATTAGTCTTCGAAAGAAATCAGTACTGTCGTCCTATTTTTACGTATAATTAATTGCGATTTATGATTCTTTAACTTATATCTTTTTTCAAATAGAATTGTATAAAATTTAAAGACTGTATCGACGTAATGGCGCAAAAGAAAATGTTGACGAGTCACGCAAAGGAAAATGAATTGTAAATCAGAAGCAAGAATATTTGTATTCTTGAAAAAGTAGGTTGAGAATAAGCTAACAATAATTAAAGTTGAGAAAGATGTAAATCAATACTCGAGGAAAGCACGTTCTTTGATGATTTCAGAATCACTGTTTGCTTTGTGGAAATAAATGTAGAAAGAATATTGCAGATAAAAGAGTTCTGGTAAAGCGAGTTTCACGGGTACACAAACAGATAGCGAAATTTCATTTCGCAATCATAACCAAGCGGCGTTTTTGCTTTAAGAAAATTTAATTGAAAGATTAACGATTACATCGTGTGGTTTAAAAAATTTTAAGACTACGGTGAAGCGATAACCTTTACTTTTATCATTTTAATGATTATGCGTATCTATAATGTAAGAACATGGTGCTCTCGTAAAAGTTAAATTACAAAATGATAAGATACAAAATATCCGACTGCATTAGTCACGCGTAATTGATATTCTGCAAACTTTGACGACGAATAAGATGCATATGTCAACGTTAGTGCACTATAATACAGCCCGCATCAATTTGGAGGATGTACCATCTAATCCGCCGCAATGTCAAGGATTTATCATCCGAATTGCATTTGTGATCCGTAATAGGATCTAAGATCCGGGTCATGCTCATAAAGCAAATCTTAATGTGCATTCACCTCGGAAAACGCATCCCATTCTCTCAGTCAGTATTGTAAAATGCACGCTAACAAAGGCTGAAATTATTTGAACAAATGTAATATAATAAATTGGAGACTACAAAATAATAAAACAATATTATTTGGATTATCAAAAAACGTTTTATACATAAAAATCGTGATAAAACATTTTTTGAGATAAATTTTTACATCGAGTTATTATATAATTATAGAATTATTTTAAATTTTAAAAATCTATTTTGATGTAATAATGTTAGATCGACGTTTTACACACTTTTCATACGTGAACAAAAAATCTAGAATTTTAATCGAGGTCGTCTTTCGACGGAAACCGAGTTGAAAGAAACGATTCACATAACGTTTATCTCTTATCAACTCTTGACTAACCGCATGATATTACTATTAAAATGACTCACTACGCGTTCTCTCTATGTGTAAAAAGAATGTCGGAACTGGAATGAATTAGTTATTATCGCACCAATTAGTTATTATCGATTTTATCGTCTGTTTACGCTTGTTTTACTAAATTGCACTTTTTGTTTTTGATATTATCTAGTCAAATATTAATTAGCGTACACGGTGCATTAGTGCGTTCGTGAAATAACGAATTAATCGCTCTCGTGGACTTTATTGACGGATATGAGGTACGCATCGAAGCGAGAAAACGGATCCGTGCCGATAACCACGGGTTTTAAAACACTTTTACATCATCGTAACTCGACAACGGGATGCGCCTTCCCTCAGCTGACCCACCTCCATTCATACGCCCGTCGTCCATTCATTCTTACACTCGTACAATGAACCGTGACATTTACGTCGCTGCAACACGGTTCATGACCTCCTTCGCCCATGCAGTCTCTGATGTAACGAAATGCTCTTTCAAGATCATTCCGCAGAGTGTTTCATAATCATACATCTCTTGTGTCCGCGAGAAACTCAATATATTAAAGCAAACAAAGTTTCTTGCAGATTTTTTTAAGTCCCTTGTAATATTTCATGTGTAAAAAGTATTATTGCTATTTTTTTAATATTCTATTTATATTTTATATATTCCAGAAGTGGTAAAAAATTGTAGCGTTTAATCGTTCCATATTAAAAATAATACACTAGAAAATTGTTTTTACAACAAGAGAGAAGAATCTATAAATAAAAGAAATAATTTTAAAACATTCTATATAATTTCAATAAAAGAAGGTACTCTCAAAGAATCTTTGATTACATGATAAATGCATATTCTTTCGTGGAAAGGACTTTTAATATTCTGGTTGAAGAAGTTTGCGTGCATCTATCAGCTTGCGCCGTCAAAAAAGACCCTCGCTCACAGTTACTTAAAGTTCGATTACCAGAGACCTATTATGATAATCATCACGGAAGAAAGCGGGAAGTGACTAAATGAATGTCAGGTATACAAACCGTAAATGCATTAACGCACATTGATATCCGAATTTTTCTGGCTTCGTATTGCTTCATTTGCATACTCAGTGGAGTACTTCCTGCATCTGCTGCGTTCTCGTGCCGACATGCTTAACGAGATAACAAAATGATCAAGTGTAAATCACCGGTTAATCGAGCCGAGTGAAACCAGTTTTCCCCTCAGAAGATCCGATGTTAAATACTTTAAAATCGTCGCCGATACTTACCTTCTAATCAGATATTCTGTCATTAGGTAATTAAAATTGATTGATGATGGCAGTTGTAATACAAAAGTATGTTTGAAAAGTTAAACACTTGAATAGTTATATGAATCTGTGCATGTAGAAATCTGAATTTTTCTACAAATGGATTGAATCTAAATAATTAATTGATTTCTTTATTCAAATATTTTTATTCTCACATTTTAAATAGCAAATATCGAAAATTAACTTAGCAAATCGGAAATTAACTTAGCGTTTGATCCACGCGATTCGGTATTATTTGCGCTAGCTAGCTCGATTAGCGCGACGGTATTCGCGTACTCGTCTTAGCACCAGATTTGTAATTTAACGATCGGCGAACGCATTATAGCGACTGCGTCGACGCGTAAATTTTACCGGTACATTCATGATCACAAGCGAGCGAGGCGGTGTTAGGGATCTCTTTCGGCGCGAGAAAGCGGCGACGTAAGGATAAAGGAGAATTGTCGAGTCGTTAATTGAAATTGTAAAATGACCAAGCCGACGACGCGACATTCCCGCATTTACGTCCGTCCGCGTAATTTAGCGAGAGATTTCAGCGCGAGACGTCGCGCAACATTTGCTACCTGGACAGGAAGGGGGAGAAATGGGGAAAGAGGGGTGAATAACGACGTGGGACAAAGTGTCGCGCACAGGTGCGCGCCAAGAATCTCTGAAAATGCGGGAAAGGCAGAAGGACGGAAGAGGGAGGGGGAGAGGAGGGTCGGAGCAATTTGTTTGGATCCGAGATGCAGGTGAGATTAACCCTTCGCCGGCGTGTCGGGAAATTATTACGCTGTCGCTTTGAGCGGTATTGATCAGATACGTATCGTGCGACGAAATTCGTAAACGCGAGAAAATTAAATTTCTTTTCCTGCAAGTTGATTAAAAAGTCGAGGAAGAGGGGACAATGTTATTCAGCAGGGAATTATTTTGTAAATTGTTTTCTAAGCAATTAACGTGCAAAACAATTAACGCGCTGTTTAATGATTGTCCGTATCTACTCGATAAGTAAACATTGCACCATCAATAAAGGAGTCGCGAAAAATGTTGAAATATATATATGTGTATAATCTTATAGTATTTAAAAATTTTTAATTTATGGTTTTTGTCTCGTTATTGCCTCAGAAATTATGTGTGGGTAAAAAACTTTCTCTCTTTCCATGAAATTTTTTATTCGCTCGTATGATGATGTGAGGAAAATTAATATAATGGTATTCGAAATTGCGTGACAAAACTTTACGATGTATAGCTCAGGTATTAAATTACAGACCAAGCGTTTAGTCATTATATAATCAACGCATAGTCTTGATTTGATAAGTAGTTGTGGTAATGAATTTTTCACATCGTGTCGTATAACTGTTCGCGTTATAACACAGTTTTAATACAATTTATGTAGATGAAATCTTGGTATAATAATACCAAGTTTTAGCAATTAAGAAACTGATTAGATATTACTTTAACGATTGCGTTTAAAGAAGAAAAAAATAGGAAACTTATTTGATTACACGGGTTGTGGTTTCCATTAGTAGTTTCTTGGTCACGAATGCCGAAATCCATTTATCATTTCAGCAGACAAGATCGTTACGCGGATAAAGTCTTTCACGCGAAAGACATTTTTAGCAATTAAATCATAATGTCACGTACCTTTAAAGCCTATAAAAATTTATTTTTTATAACCTTTACATATATTATATTAGATTGATAGTTTCATCTTAATGTTGCCTCTTGAGATTATACAATGCTTTAATCGATTTTTTACGTTTTATTCCATTTGTTTACAATATTATATGTAATTGTTCAAATTTGTATAAAATTTATTTTCCAATTTTTCTTTTAATTTTATTTGTATGAAAATAATCTTTTTTATGCTATTAAATATCAATGGATTTTTTGTGTATTTTATTATCTCAATTAAAGTCTTAATAGATAAATTATATTGATTAAATCAGTTTTTGTAAAATATTGTTTTAATTACAAATTTTCTGCACTTTTGTGATGCTGAAAATTCAGTCACCGACGTTCGGTTATATTGGCGTCTTCAATTATCTTCAAGCTCACTAGGTTCATTTTCGAGGTACGATAACTTACCCACTGCGATGTTTCATCGATGCATATACTTTTACCTGCGAGATACCTGAAAGTGGTTATCCTGACGCTTTCCATGGGGGACACTTATTGATTTCTAATTAACTCAGCTCTCTGCATTTATTAAAAAATAAAAACTACATAGCCACATTTATTTTTCGATACTATTGGTAAATGAACAACATTTATTGCATTTCAAAAATGCATAACTTTTTAAATTATATATATTTTAAAATAATTTATAATAATATTAATAACAAATATGTCTGCATTAATACAATTGTATTGAAATCTGTTTTATTGTATAAAAAATTCTTATATTTTTAATAAAACAGTAACAATTAATATTTATAACAGCAATAACTAAACAGCAGTAGTTGTGTTGCTATATACATATCATCGTCCGGTATTACACTCGTTTGGGAGAAGCTGTGTCAGAAATATGCCGCGAGATCGAGAAGCGTCGCGTAATTGTGGTGTAAACTGCATAGTTTGGAGTGATGGTTGATCTTCGGCGGTTGGTCTCGAGGACGAGTGTTTAAGAATTGCTCTTTGTATCACTTGTAAATAGTGCTGTACTGATTAAATCAGTGTCTTAAATTGAGTTTTTATTTACGCATACGCGCATTATTCGCGAGTGCAACACATACGAGGGCAGTCTGAAAAGTTCGCGGAGCGGAAATGAAAAAAATAAGTTATAGTTATGTCTATGAAGTTAGCATCGCCATTTTTGAAAATTAAAAAAACAAAAGTTGTACTAGATTATGCTACGTTGTGCCGCAAACCGCACTTCAATATCTCCAAAAACAACCCGAAAATTCGAAAAAAAACGATTTTAAGGCCTAGCACCGCCATTTTGTCAGAATGAAAAAGTAATGATTGTGCTAGGTTGTGCTAGGCCTTCAAAATGGCGGTGCTGGGTCTTAAAATTGTTTTTTTCGATCTTTCGGGTTGTTTTTGGAAATATCGAAATGCGGTTTGCGGCACAACGTAGCACAATCTAGCACAACTTTTGTTTTTTTAATTTTCAAAAATGGTGGTGCTAACTTCATAGACCTGTTATAGTTCTAGAAATGGCTTTATTTTTCAACATAATTTCTTTTAACTTCAATACACTTAGTGCAGCATTTCTCTAATAAATGTATCCTATCCCTGAAATGACTTTGCGGAAGGTCTGCAAAATACTCGTCTACGGTTGCAATCACTTCTTCATTGGAAAAACGCTTACCAGCGAGGAAGTTTTTCAGTTTTGGAAACAGGTGGAGGTCGGAAGGAGCCAAATCTGGTGAATAAGGTGAATGTTCCAACAATTCATATTTTAATTCGTTGATTTTTTTCATCGCATCCGATTCCGTTTCTCATCAATTCTTAGCATGCGGCACCCATTTTGCACTAAGCTTTTTCATATGCAATTCTTCGTGTAAAATATAACCTACACGTTCTTTTGAGATACCCATGGCCTCAGCAATCTTACGCACTTTTATTCGCCGGTCATCCAATACCATGTCATGAATTTGTTGAATGATTTCCGGTGTTGTAATACTTTTTGGGCGTCTACTGCGGAGATCGTCTTCAATGCTTGTACGACTACGTTGAAACTCAAGTGCCCACTTGCAAACCATTGTTTTTGAAGGAGCAGATTCTCCTAACACATTTACCATTTCAATATGAATTTACATTGCCTTTAAACCTTTCTTAACAAAGAATTTTATTACAACACGATGTTTCAAATTTTCCATTTAAAACACACTGACACGTTAACTTTGAATGGCTTGTAAGTAAAGAAACAATTGACAGATGGATTTCACATTTTACATGGGTTCATATCACGGTGTAAGAATATAAGGTGATTTCACGACCATTGTATTCTATCAAAAAATCTGTGATCAAGATGTCATTAGTTAAGGCATGTCACACAAGATGTCACGTTGGTGCAAGATCCCAAGTAAAAAAGAATAGAAGATGTGGATAGACGTGGATAGAAAAGGATAGACGATGAATCTCTAAAGCACATCTATATATAATTATAGTCCTAAATAATACAAATTTTTTAAAATAAAACTTTTAACATTGTGTATAAAAATATATATTACTGACAAAATATTTTTTATTTTTTATAACAAATTATTCTTAGTTAAATATGCAGAAAAAATAATTAATAATGTATTCCAGTTTTTATAGAAAATTAAGTTTCTTTAAGAAAATGAATATTTATAATTAAGTTCCGCAGGACAATAAAATTTTAATAAAATTTCAATATATGTATATACATGTCTGGCAATAATCGCCCCACCGGTCATATACAGGTAGAGGAGGTCAAATCGAGTAGAAAAGTCCTTTACTATTTTTTAATTTTCATAATAAGTACTGAGTAATTAACGAAAAAAGATCGGCGAATCCGCGCGAGTAAAGCGCGCGCGGTGAGAAGGACGTCCCACTGCTACGCGATCACTAGGACATAAGGATCTAGCGTTACGCGCCGCTCGTATGTTGCCATTGTCATTTGTAGAGCGCTCCTCCCAACGCTTCATCGCGCGCCTAGTGATCGCATAGCAGTGGGATGTCCTTCTCGCTGCGCGCGCTTTACTTGCACGGATTCACCAATCTTTTTTCGTTAATTACTTAGTACTTATTACAAAAATAAAAAAATGGTAAAGGACTTTTCTACTCGATTTGACCTCCTCTACCTGTATATGACCGGTGGGGCGATTATTGCCAGACACCCTGTATATATATTTAAAGTCTCTCAACACGTAGCCATCTAGCGGTTCAATGTGGAACAATGACAGGAAAATCACAAAAATTTGTTGCCGTGAAATCACCTTATATTCTTACACTGTGGTTCATATGAAGAGTGAAGTTGTACAACCAATTAAAATTTAAAACTCTACTGTTGACTTACAGATGTCGCTCCGCGAACTTTTCAGACTGCCCTCGTATGTATACTGTTTAATTTGCTTACAGAGAGAGCCAAGGTCATTAAATGGTCACGGTCAATGGCAAATGTGTAACAGTATCCCATTCTTGGCTTATGACGCGCGAAGTGTCGGGTTTTAATAATTGATTCGCTCGATTAATAATCGGAACACACACACACACACACACACACACACACACACACACACACACACACACACACACACAATAT